TTGGAGGAACTCTACTGGTTGGATTTTACGGCCCCTTTGTAAAAGAGGGAACAGGTAGAATTGACTGAGTATTAATAGGAGAAGTATGTATGTTGTGTGAGGTCATCTGATGGGTATATGAAGACTTGGAGTTGAGTTTCTGGTGCTGTCATTGACTGGCCAAGTGACCATGATGTCCAGTTGCTCCACTTCTGTGGCGCGCGTCTTACCAATCAGGAAATGATTAAAATATCCAGCTCCATGGCAAACTGGTTCTAAATTGTGCTGTGAGGTCCCAAGAGTCTGCAGTACTCTCGTGTGGCAGACTGAAAAGTCTGCAGCATCTGCATTTCAGCTACAAAATGGAGACTTCCAGTAAATATGAGATTGACTAGTACAGTCATTAGTTGCATGTTTATTTTTATATGAAAGTAATTTTTTGCTGTCATCACAATTTCAGTTTTTAACGTGCTATAGATTTTTGCAGTGCATAATTGCATCACAGAAATTGTTAGCAGGGAGGATGGAGGTTTTGGAAATAGGGAGGGGCACAATTAGAGTTTTCAGCAGCCAACCAAGATGACAGGCATTTTGAGATTGTGGAACAAGTACTTTAGTTGGCTATATCTACTAAAATGATCAAGAGTAAAATAATTAAAGAAGCGACATTTTAAATTTCAATCTGTTTTGAATTAACTCCTTGAGATGAATGGAGCATTCGTCTTTCAAAACCATTGTCTTGGGCATTTGCAGATTGACACTGTCATGTCTCATGGTTGCTTTCACAACCATGAATACTAAGACCTTCTGAAATGGCTGCTTAGATTTTGAAGCAGTTTGTGGCTGTGGAGATGCAAAATACATAGTTCCTGATTATAGCTATTTACTTCTTAGATTTTTGTTTACTGGGAAAATGAACCATGGCTTGTTTATTTTTGCTTTTGTGGGGTTTTTTTTTTAATCCACTCTGCACAAACTAAGCGTTTTTTTGTTTTGTTTTTTTTTGTTAATTAGAACATTGCTAGCCACTCCTTAGCAGTTCAGCTAACACTTAAACATGCATTTACTGGATCACCCTTAGCCATGACTTTAAAGGTCGACCTTAGGAGTTATGAGTAATGGTCTGTTTTTAAGCATCTGGTGTGTTTGACAGCTTGCTAATTAAAGTATTTAAATAGATACGTTTTTCATCACAACTCATTTTCGCAGTATAGATAAAAATCTGAGTTGTATTAAGAACTGTAAAGACTCTTGAGATCATAGAACACTAGAACTGGAAGGGACCTTGAGAAGCCATCGAGTCCAGTCCCCTGCCCTCACGGCAGGACCAAGCACCACCTACACCATCCCTGATAGATGTTTATCTAATCTGCTCTTAAATATCACCAGAGATGGAGATTCTACATCCTCCCTAGGAAACTTATTCTAGAGTTTAACCACCCTGACCATTAGGAAGGATTTCCTAATGTCCAACCTAAACCTCCTTTGCTGCAATTTAAGCCCATTGCTTCTTGATCTTTTCATGAAAGGTTCTGTGTAAGGCAAAGTATGATTATAATGAACAGTTATGGATCCTTAGTATTACAGATACCCTAAAACCATGTGTTCATGTGTGTTCTTTTATTTAAAAAAAATTAAAATGTAACTATTAAAAGTTTGAGAAACTGGTACAAAATTAAAATTTCAAGCATTTAAAATTTTTAAAACGAGTGGAGAACCTTTTTTGGTTCGGGGGCCATTGACCCACAGAAAAATCAGTTGGGAGCCACACACAAGGGAGAAGTTTAAAAAAACAAAACAAAACCCCAAGCCTGTCACTAATGTGGCACCTGTCTGAAAAGGAGAGAGACACTCCCCACATTCCCCTCCCACACCAGAGACTAGGGGTGGGGGGGCCCAGCTAGTCGATTTTGTGTGCTGTAGTGAGGCAGTGGGAAGCTGGAGTGCCAGTACAGGTTCCCCAATGCTGGGGAGGCCCCTGAGTCTCGGGAGGTTGGATCCAGGCAAGCCCCGGTCCTGCGACTCTCCACCCCGGTTTTAAAATGAGATGAACACAAAAATGCACGTAGACCTGGCTAATTTGTCTTTACGCTGGATTTGTTGATGCGTGTTTGTGATGTGTAGTTGTTTGAAGCAATTTTTAAAAATTTGTACCACTAAATTGTCTTCAGAAACAAATCTTATAATGAGCGCCTATGGTCGAGAGTTGTTAATTTGTGGCTAAGTTAAAACGAAATCTGGCCCTCACAAAATAAGCCTTGTTCACTTCAGATGTTGTTCTGAGTAGATTCTGCAGATGTTCAGAACATGATCACACCCACTTTCCGGGTTCCTTGCATTTGACTTCCCTTCACTGTGGTCTGAATATGTTATACCTATAGCATTGTTGAGTTCCTTGGGGCTTACGTCTTGGTGATACTCGAGTGCCTTGGACTTGGTTCATTTTTGAGTGGTGGATGGTAGTAATACTACTTCCCAAACTCACATCACTTGTTTCTCAGAGTAAAGAGAAGAAGTATATTACAAAGTTATACAAAATCTACATCATATGATTAAGCAGTGCAATAGCTAATAGTGAAGATACTTACAGTAGAAACATCTGAATAAATATATGCACCAAGGTGAATGGGATAGTTCGTTCCTCTCAGATATTATTTCAGGCTCTTTGCTAACTTGGGCAGATGACATTTCATTGGTTAGATTTGATTCATGTTTTACAACATTTTCTTTACAACTGAAATAGCTCAGACCTCTTACTGGACAAAAAATGTGTCTTGGGAGAGAATCTTTACATTGTCAAGTTGTACATAGGATAGATGCAAGTATTTATTTTTGGGGTAGCTTTGACACAGAGGAAGTAGGCATATTGTTGCTATGAATGAAGAGCTTCGTTAATAACAGTGCAGGTCAGCATCTTGGTCTGGTTTGAAAGTTAGTGTGAACTTTTTGGGGATCGTTGGTGGTTTTTCAGAAGATGCCAGTTCTGAAATCAGTAGTATACTTTTTTATACATACTGTAAGAAAGTTACATGTTTATATGCCCTATCTAGTGATAAATATTTTTGGATTTCAATTCAAGCGTTTTTAGCGACATTTCGTCTTTTTGCCTCAGTTGATACGAGGAGACTTTGTTGTTAGGTATTCAGATACCACTGTGAGTCAGTGCTAAAAACACAATTATTTAGAAAGGGATTCATTTTTTTTTTTCCATCTCCTTATCTTATTGTATGATCAGATTTTTCATTCCTGTGATCTTTGTTTTTAAATCCATATTTACATCTTTAAATAATGCAGAACAACGTATTCTTAAATAGTAGATTCACTATGGTTTAGTTTGAAGTGTTTGGGGATGTGAAATGTGCAGAAGTATAATGCGTATTAATTCTGAATCATTTGTTTGCTTGTGGCTATCCATAGTATGGAGTATTCTCCAGATATATTTTCTGTGGGTTTTTGTAATTGTCCTTAAACATTAGAGCATTAGAAATCTGCGTATGAGGGAATTCCTCACTTTCTGTGGATTTAGCGTTTCCATGGCTATTCCTGTGTTCTGTCCAATTTTTAAGCTTTCATTTTAAGAGAAAATTAAATGCTTCCAGGTCTCCTGGTTATGAACAGAATTTTCCCAAACTAATACAGCTTGCATGCAAACTGAAACAATGTCTGAAAGATGTGAAAGGCATTTGTATAAATGAAGTGGCTCCTGAAAGCTAATACCATCTTCACTGCTGATCGCTTTTCTAGAAACAGCCCATCCTTTTGACCTTTTGGTGCAGAAACATCACATCCTCTTCTCTTGTACCTATGGGTGAAGTCTGAATACTACTACTTTTAGTCTAATCAGAGTTCAGCTGATGCGTTGGTTTTTTTTATTTTTGTAGTGGATATGAAAGATTAATCCTATATCTGCAAGACTCATTTGGAAAAAGCACCTCTGTGATTAGGTGTCAGCGTTCTTCTAAAGTTAAACGTCTGAGTCAATAAACGTGAATTTCTAGCTCTACATGTGGCCCAGTCTGTATTGATCACTTAAACTGATGAGGAACACCATTCCTCCAGATTCTGCGTTTCCTGTAGTTTAGGTGAAGTTATCAAAGTACGCAGCTAGTCTGCATTTGAAAACAGATTAGCTTTTGAAGATGCATCACCATGTTGGATGTACAGTGGAGATTTTATGTCCATTGGACATTACCCAGAAAAATAACTTCCCCTCTTCTTTAAAGCTTTAAAGAGCCCGTAAAAGACTTTGTGGGGACAGACCGCCACAAAGTAACCATGTGAAATGTTAGTTTTGGATTGAGCACCTCTTACAAAATTACTCAGAACTTTGGACTCAAATGTTCTAGTCTTCATTGCAGTCCTGAACTGGGATTCATTTAGATACATTTTGACATTGGATTCCTCAGACCATGTGATTAAATATGCCATGCTGACTCGCAACTCACTTTTTCTGGATTAGCAACAGCTGCAGCCATTGATTTCTCTGGAAAATATCACATGATTTGTGCAACAGTAGTAAGCATATGAATGCATACCACATTAATATTTATCAGAAATTCAACTCTCAGAAGAAAAGAAACCTCCGATCCTATGCAGTTTAATCATTGCTGTGGTGTGTTTTATTAGTTAAAAGAATTTAATTAATTGTAATTTGAAAGAAACAGACAGTATGGTAAGTAATCAAGGATTCACATGTATTGATTACTTCTCAATAGAAGAGTGCTTGTCAGTTCTCTGTTTTGACACCTCGTAATAGGGAGAGTTAATATCATAATTTTCCCATTAGCTAATAACCTTAATAACAATACATAAAGCTGATAAGTTAGATGTTGATTCACAGTGGTTAATATCTTCCTTTAATCATTAGCTGTTTTATCGGTCTCTTGTTTTTGACCGGAGTGAATACAGCCGGTCCCCAAGTTTGTGAACGGTCGACTTATGACCGTTCGCAGTTATGACCAAAGCTGTTGTAAATGGTGGACCCTGAGTTACAAACGCGATCCACACTTACGAACAGCGCAGTTGCGTGTAACTCAATGGGGTACGACTTACGAATGAACAGAGTTACGACCAATTGCTTGGTCCATAACCAGTTCGTAAGTCAGGAAGAGGCTACAGTGCACAACTAATTGTTAGGTTTTTTTACATTGACTAGCAGGGAAGTATGATACAAATTGGAGACTTAGTTTGACATACATATGAAATTGAGGGAAACAGTCTTTCAATATTGCAGTAACCTTACTGACTCTCCGTGTTTGATGTTGCAGAACCACTCATGAGTTCTTGTTTGGTGCCCTTGCTGAGCTTGTAGATAATGCCAGGTATGTATTTTGAGACTGCATTTGTATTGGGAGATAATTAAGTTGCTGGTTAAATGTGTGAGGTGTGGTTTAGGAGAAGCAGTGATCTTCATTTCCAGTACAATAGCCAGAAAGACATAATGCAGAAGTTTATAGCTGAATGGTGATGGTGCAGGCCCTATCCAAGAGGAGGACAGGGTCCCATTTTGAAAAAATGATGGTATTAAGCAGCTAGAAAACAGTGTGTTGAGAGACCAAGAAGGAAGATCAGTTGTATAGCCTTTTCCCCCTAAACTTTTGATGTGGTTTTGCATTGTTGTGCTTTGCAAAAGTGAATCTTAAGGTGGCTTGATAGGGCATATGCTAGAGTAGGGGACTCTAAGAACGAGAAGAGTTGATGAAGGGAGAGCAGAAGTGGAATTAATTAGTAGAGAGAAAGTAGAAGTAGATAAAAATGAGAGCCAACACAGATATGTAGATTCTAAAACTTGAAGGAACCATTATTATCCTTTAGTCTGATCTTCTGGATAGCACTGTCCATAGAACTTCCCCAAAATAATTCCTGGAGCAGATCTTACGGAGAATCATCCCATCTTATTTTAAAATCTTAATTTAAAAATGGGCATCAGTGAAGAATCCACAACACACATTAGTAAATTTTTCCTCTGTTGACTCCCTATTAAAAATGTATGCCTTATTTCTGGTCTCAATTTGTCTAGCATCAACTTCCAGACATTGGACTATATTCTACCTTTATTTGCTAAATTGGATGGCCCATTATTAAATATTTGTTCCATATGTAGGCACTTATACTGTATAGCAAATCAATGCAAAACTTTCTCTTTGTTAACCTAAATAGCTAGATTTGATCTCAATCATTGCAGGAATATTTTTGACTCTCTTAATTTTTGTCATGGCTCTTCTCTGAACCCTTTTCAGTTTATCAATATCTTCTTGACTTTTGGGCACCAGAACTGGATGCAGTGTTCCAACAGTGGTTGAACTAGTGCCAAATACAGAAATAAAATAGACTCTCTACTCCTCCTTGAGATTCTGATGTTTGTGCATCCTGACATTGGCTGCTGCCGGAATTAATGTTCAATTCCGGTCGGTGCCCATGATTTAAGAAGAATGTTGATAAACTAAAGATTGTTTAGATAAGATACATGACATTACCAATTGTTACTTTAGTTTAACTCAACTACATAAAAGTTACAACTTCTTCAACAGATCTGCGCTTTCATTTTCTGACTCAATCACGTCAGTGACAAATATCAGAGGAGTAGCCGTGTTAGTCTGAATCTGCAAAAGCTACAAGGAGTCCTGTGGCACCTTATAGACTAACAGATTAATTGAGCATAAGCTTTCATAGGCAAAGACCCACTTCGTCAGATGCAAACAATCAGTGACAAAACGTCTTTTCTCTTAGCCTTTCAGAACTAATGAAAATAAGGGGTAGGGAGCTGGAGTTTATTTTGAGTTTTGTATCTTCAACAGAATTATAAACTAAAATCTGGGTTGTAAACTATTTACTGGTAATAAAGTAAATAGATAAGGAGAACTTGAGTTGAATTTGCAGGACTAGCTTTTTAAAAAAAACTCAGCTTGTGAAGTAAACACATTGAGGGTACATCTACACAGCAGGGCTAAAGTTAAATTAAGCTATGCTACTTCAGCTATGTCAATTGTGTAGCTTAAGTCAAAATAGCATAACTCGGCTTTTGGTACTGAAGTTGAAGACTCTTCCTTTGACTTCCCTTACTACTTGTAAAATGAGGGTTACCAGGAGTCGGACTAAGAAGTCCTCTAGCTCGACATTAGTTCAAAATAAAGGTTTGTAATGTAGATGCACATTATTATTCCAAAATAATGTTGCTGTGTAGATGTACCCTGAGAGACAACTTCTCAATATAATTGCATTTCAAATTCACTAGCTAAGAAAGCAAGCATAGGTGATTCTCTGGCTTAGACATTTGTGTCTCTAGTTCTCTGAAGAACTTTTGGTTGAAGAGGAGGTAAGTGATGCAACTGAAGTTTTGATGGCTTTCAAAACCTGGAAGAAGCTTGACATTTCAGGCTTATTCCATCATGACGTAAAAAGATTTTTTCTTTATGTATTTGATTCCCTCATAAAATTGGAATAGTTATTTTCATTGTAACCAGGTTTAATTACATATGCCAACATCTGTGTCTTGAGGTAGAGTTTGGATCCGAACAAAGGAAGACCAAAAATGGAACAGAACGCAAACGCTGCTTGCATTTGTTTGAGGGGTACTGGCATTTATAGGCTTAGAGAAATGTGGTGGGTGAGAGATTTTTCTATTGACCAATTTCTGTTGGTGAGAAGACAAGCTATTAAATACTATAAAAACTATTACCTCGTTCATCTCCTGTAATATCTTGGGACTGACACATTTACAGCTACGCTGCATACACAGAGCTAGCTTATATAGTTTTTGATCCATACTCTTAACTCCTGTTGAAATTCCCCCTTATACTTGCCTCTTGGGCTTTCTGAGTTGTTTCATCTTCATTTACGCTTTGAATGCTGATTGTGTTTTTGTTACTTTGTAGAGATGCTGATGCAACGAGAATAGATATTTATACTGGTAAGTCAGACTTTTGTTTTTTCCTTAGGTAGCAGCAATGCTTAGTAACCAGGGGATTGCAAAATACACCTAGCAATTATGGATTTACAAGTGGATAAAATTGTATTGGGGACACAAACTCACTAAGGTAATGTCACATTAGGAATCCCTTCAAATGCATAACCAGGGCTTGACAATTTAGAGCCTGAGAGAATGAGCAAGAAACAGCCAGTCAAGTACCTGAGAGAACGAATGCTTGGTGTCAACTCTGAGCCCAAAGCTACCACCCAAGGTCTCATTTCCAGCTGTGACCAGATCTTGATGCTTTAAAGGCAGGAGACTAAAAACATTCCCTCCCCCCCCCCCCCCCTTCCTGGCTCCTGCCAGTGGCCAGCTGAGATGCTGAAGCATGAGCTTTAGGAACAGGAACCGGGTGTGAGCGTGAGCCCTGCTCCCCCACCTTTGCAAACAATTCTGTCGTTAAAATTGCACTCAAATGTGTTAGTTTATTTCCCCCGCAACTTCTGTTTGGAGGCTGTTCCAGCACCTACCCCTTCTGATGATTGGATAGCTTCTTCTAATTTCCAGATTGAGTTTGTTCATGGTCAGTTTATATCTGTTTGTTCTTCTGCCTACGTTGTCATTTAGCTTAGGTAGCTCTTCATCCCTCCCTATTTACCCTGTACTGTATTTACAGAAAGCATCATATCCTTCTTCAGCGTGCCGTTTAGTTTATTAAACAAGCCGAGCTCTGGGCCCTCCATTTCCCTGATCATTCTAGTATCGAAGAATCCTAGGGTTGGAAGAGACTTCAACAAGTCACCCAGTCCAACCTCTTACCCAAAGCAGGACCAACCCCAACTCAATTATTCTAGGCAGGTCTTTATCAAGCCTGGACTTAAAAACCTCTAGGGATGGAGATTCCACCACCTCCCTAGGAAACCCATTCCAGTGCTTCACCTCTTCCTAGTAGCTCTTCTTTGCACTTGTTTCAGTTTAAATTAATCTTTTTGGAACATAGATTACCAGAATTGTACACCGCTTGATATTTTCTGTTCAGAAACAAAGACATGAGCTTCTTTTAGTTGCTTTGATTTTAGCATATGAGCTTAAGCTACCTTCTCTCTCTGATAACAAAGATTAGAAATTTTTCAGTAATAAAAATGCCTATAATTTCATCTGCTCCTTTTCATTCTTATTAATGGTGGTGGCTAACTACTTTATAGTGCTTCGGGTGAGTAGCCAATTTACTCTGTAAGGGTGTGTCTAGACTACAGAGTTTTGTCGACAAAAGTGGACTTTTGTCCACAAAACTAAACCTGCATCTACACTACCGCCGAGTTCTGTCGACATAACGTCGACAGAACTCAGCAGTTTTGTCGATGCTGGTAAACCTTATTTTATGAGGAATAACGCCTTTTGTCGACAGAGTTCTGTCGACAGAAGGCATTATTGCATCTAAACTGTCCTTTGCGTCCACACTGTTATGTCGAAAAAGCAGCTTGCTTTGTCGACAGAACTGAATGTAGTCTAGACGCTCTTTGTCGACAGAAGCTTTGTCGACAGTATTTGTCAGCAAAACTTCTGTCGACAAAAGCCTGTAGTCTAGACGTACCCTAACTGGAAAAACTTTAACAACAAATAGTTGAGCAGCACCTTCAAGACTAGCAGTGGTACCACTCGTAAATCATTTTGAAGTTTGAATCTTATTTGCCATGCTGCTATAGTCCGGAAAATTATGTGCACATTTCAAACAATTTTTAATTCCCCTCCCTATTTGAGTGTAATGTTAATTCTTCTCTTGTAGAACGACGGGAGGACCTGCGCGGTGGATTTATGCTATGTTTTTTGGATGATGCAAGTAAGTGGCAGAAAGCTGTTTGCACAATGGTTTGCTGAGAAAAATAACGTTAATCTTTGCAAGTATTCTACAAATGTCATGTCTGCTCAGTGAGCGATGCAGGGGATATAAAAACTTTGGTTAGACATTTAGGACAGCAGTGAATCAAGACAAATTGAATCAGACCGTCATAAGGAGTCCATGCACATCCATGTCACGTCTGCAAGGGAGACTCAGAGCTACTTTTTCCTGGGCCAGGGAATCGGTGAAGCTGTGACCAGAATAATTAAACCAGATTTTTTTAGTCTGCCTTGGACCTAAATATGTCTTGCTGTGAGGAGTTCTCTGTCTGCTTTGCAGAAAAGTCTGGCTAAACTCAGTTTTTCCCAGGACCAAGCAGTTGGGATCTGAAGACACTTTCACGAGTTTGACGCAGGCATATCACTACAGGACATCTAAGCACAGTGGGAAGTCCATGCCACCACATAAATGAACCCTTTATTCTCATAAGTGATTAGACGTGGTCTGCTATTGATGAAAAGCATATCGGTACTACTCTCAGATTAAGTATTGGCTAATACTACTTGTTGTAGTTTAATCTGGGCTGCAGAATATATTACTGATAAAGCCATGTGTCTGTCTTCCCTGCTTTGGACAAGAGAAGAAAGGTTTAAAAAGACTCCAGGAGCACTTGACATCAATAGTCTAGAAGTTTCTCGTTTATTTGGTTGAGGTTTGTACTAAGTACGTAACGGCATCCGTCCTAGGCTGTGGGTGCTCTTGGCAAACTCTAAATACCATCAACAGACTCAGAAGTTGACTTAATGAGAGTAACGTTTGAACAGCAATCACATTCCAGCAGCAACCAATATTCAGAACTACCTCTCGAGTCCCAACCTCAGCCTAACCATCAAAACTCCCTCTGGGAAACGGAGACAATTTGGGTCTGACTGTGTGTCCTCAGAGTTAACGCTTGTTGGTCTTCCAGTCATGAGCAGAAGGCAGATTTCCATGTCAATATTTCAAGATCTACCTGTAGCTTTTGACCACATCTCTCTCTGTCTTACTGCCTTGTTGAGGTCGCCTGAAAGGATAGATGGGAACCTCACTTAGTTGGCTAACCACATTTCTTAAGGACATATCTGAGAAGGTTTTGGTGGCTGGTTGCTAGTCTTCCCTGAGCTTTTTCATCTGTGAAATCTTGCTGGATTCAGTCCTCTGTCTATTTTTGGGCATGTATATTGAACTACTAGAAGATATTAGTTTATACTATGGGCTTCAGTGACAACATTGTGCATTGGACATGAATTATGTCCTTTGCCAATTGACTTGGTACTCGAGCGAAAGTGTTGGTTCAGCCTGAGTCTGTGAAGGATAAATGCGAAGCTTGTAGAAAGGGGACAAAGTATTTTGAAGAATTGGATGGAACCATGTCTTTGTTCTTTGAGGGCATCTGCCGTTGGATTGTTAAGTTGGTAAGCAACTCAGACTGCTTCCTCTTTGCCAGCAAATGTTTCTTCCTATCTTCAGCAGGCCAGAAGAGTGTGATACTTTGTGACGCCGACCTAGTCACAGTGATCTGTGCTTTCATTGCTTCCAGGCTGTATGATTACATTGGGCTCCACCAGTAATGAAGCCACATGGGGGCTCTGCCTACCGACCTAGTCACAGTGATCTGTCCTTTCATTGCTTCCAGGCTGGATGATTACATTGGGCTCCACCGGTAATGAAGCCACATGGGGGCTCTGCCTCGTTCATTATGCAGCAACCAATCTTAACGGAACTACTGAAAAGAGACCGTTGCTGTACCTGCTGCACTGGCTCTATATCCATTCCACATCTGCCTGAAGGTCTCAGCTCTTACATATGTTAGGATCTAGTAGTCTCCAGTGATCTCTCTCAGTCTCGGCAGATGTGGCAACCAGTTGACCTTTAGGATGAAACTTGCAGGGATCAAGCATAGCATTGTCAGTAGAAGATCTTCTGCCAGAAATCAAGCTGAGTCTTGTATTCAGGATAAAACACTTCTCTGTACAAGTCTTTCCTCAATAAAGGAACAGCTTGTTAATGTATACTCCGTAGACAGACCAGAGCAATGTCACTTAAAAATGGAATTCAAACAAAGGAAGGATGGAATGGGGCAAATCTTGGGTTTTCTGGGCTACTTCCATGGCTCCTCGCTAGAAAAGAGATGAGTATATTAAGAATACCTTCGTAACTCTCCATGTTGATGGCAATGGAGCCTGGATATACTCATAGGCTGTGTCTACATTGCACACTTCTTGTGCCAAAACAACTGTTCTTGCGCAAAAACTTGCTGGCTGTCTATACTGCACGCGCGTTCTTGCGGAAGTAAATTTACAGTATAGGGTCAGAAAACTGGGCTTCTTCCAGAAGAGTTATTCCTTTCCCCATGAGGTATAAGCCCTCTTGCACAAGAGCTCTTTCACAAGAGGGCAGTTTAGACAGGCAGCATGAATTTCTTGCGCAAAAAACCTCTATGGTTAAAATGTCCATCAGAGCTTTCTTGCGCAAGAGAGCTTTCTTGTTAGCTTGATCTGTGGCTTTCAAGTGCCACTGTGGGAAGGCTTTGGTTTTGGAAAAACCGTTTTTGAATCCCAGTAGCTTGCAACATCATAATATCTGTCAGATGTTTGGTGAACACTAGGCAAAGGCAGTGACATATGCATCCAAAAAAAGCCCTGGAAAATATTTGCCTGTCTTTTAAAACAGACAAAATACAGGACATTCCAAAAGAACTGTTCCCTTAGAGCAGGCATGTCCAAAGTCCGGCCCGCGGGCCAATTGCGGCCCGTGTTCCGGTTTAATACGGCCCCCCCAGGTAATTTGGCAATATCTATCTTTTTATGGCCCCCAACGAATCCATATGTATTGAGATGAATACATTGTAAAATCTCGGTTAATGTCAGTTGGTCTAAATCAGTTATAAATATATTTGGACACAACATGTATACTTGGTGTTATGTTCCTGTTCATATTTTTTTAACTTAAAAGTTGACAGACAACCTTTATTACCAATAATATGTAATGTACTTTACAATGTTCCTGACATATATTTCAGCTTCCTGGATTTTTTTTTTCATCTGGCCTTCAGATATGAAAGGCAGAGTGATTTAACACCTGTTTAGATTTGTCATCCATGTGACGAAATGAAAAGTATGCCGTTTGCAATAAACTTTGCATAAAATAGTTAATTTGCATTTAATTTTAATGGTTCAAGGAATGTCAGGCAAAATGGTCGGCCCTCACGCATGTTCACTTCATCAAATCTGGCCCTCTTTGAAAAAAGTTTGGACACCCCTCCTTAGAGCCTGTTCTTTTTCCATGTCACATGGACAATGTGGAACTCGCTTTCTTATGTAATATGAAATAAATATCATAGGTGAGGTAGAGGTTAGGGAAGACTTCTGATTAGATCCCTCCTCCAAAAAATGTCAGATACCTAGTTTTGATGCTCCATTTCTGATGCCCCAAAAGATCTTGATGGAAGACTTCTGTTTGTGGAAGGATGAGTGCAAATGATTTAAACAGAGGGAATCTCAGAGTGAACCAATTACTCTCTAGAACTTGCACACTATCTTAGAGAGAGGTTTGTTCTTCCCTACTGGCTAAGAACATCCAAAAGAGTTAAGATATGCACAAGTTCCTTACCTTTTTTTTTAATTGAGGCTATCAAGGGAGTTTCCCGAAAGAGGCTCAACTCAATTTTATTTATAGTCAATAGGGCTACGTCTACACAGCAAGCCTCTTTCAAAAGAGGCTTTTTCGAAAGTATCTTTAGAAAAAGCCTCTTTCGAAAAAGAGCATCTAGACAAGAAGATTTTTCAAAAAAGCGGCTCGCTTTTTCGAAAGTCTAGACGCTCTTTCAAAAAAGCCCTGTTTTCATGCAATAGCGCCATTGTTTGAAAGATGAATTTTGAAAAAAAAAGCATTATTCCTCATAGAATGAAGTTTACCACCGTCGACAAAACTGCCGCATACTTTCGATTTACTGTTGACAGCATGCGGCGGTAGTCTAGATGCAGGTACAGGTTTTTTTTGTTTTGTTTTTTTTCCAAAAAGCCACTTTTTTGGATAAAACCCTGTAGTCTAGACACACCCTAGATGTTTAATAATATCTGTTTGGTGTTAGACCCCAAAACCTTGAAGAGATACTCTACGGAGGCATAGAGCTGGTCTACACCGAAGACTTGGGTCAATATTGGGCGTGCAATCTGTCTGACTCTCCCTCTCTCTCAGGGATGTGCAAAATCTATACCCCTAAGCTGACTTAATCCCTGCTGTTGATGGTACTGGGTTTATGGAAAAAACTTTCTGTTCACAACAGCACACCATCCACTGCTTGTTCCATGCTTGGTTTGGGCCTCCCTCGTCTGGTGGACCAAACTGCAAAGGAGCTCGTTGGCATCCACTTTGCAACCACTGGCCCAATTGTTAACTTTTGTACAAATTAGAGTCGTGTGATCATCCAGGGCTGAACTGAGCATGAGACCCACCTGTACATCAGTGTCCTCCAGCTTCACTTGTTACACGTTCCTGTTGCTCAGCCGTGCTAGTTTTGCTCAGACCACCTGTGATAATATCAAAGCGATGGCCTTCCTAAACAGAGGGGCACCAAGCCGTATAGCGTAAACACAGCTTCAACTAGCAAAACCCAAATGAAATAAGTGCTGTCGGCAAAGGTGCACTGTTGCACCTAAATTATGACTACATTTAGATTTCTTTTGCTGGTACAAAAATACCGTAAAAAAAAATCATACCCCACCCAACATTTTTCTGGCTTTCACTGTATGGATTCAGTAATCTCATCTGTTGCTATGTCATGTAATCATGATACTCTTGTAAAATCATAATTATATGTGTGCAAAGAAAGAAAGAATTGATTTTTTTTCCATACTTCGTAAGTTGCTCTCACCTTCCACTCTGTCATTCCAGGTGATGCTGCAAGCGTGATTCAGTTTGGTAAATCGGCCAAACGATCACCAGAATCGACTCAAATTGGGCAGTATGGGAACGGCTTGAAATCGTAGGTATAACGGAAGCCAGCCTCCTGAGGTCTTGGGGTTTGGCTGGTAGAGCACCAGCAAAAGTTGAAATGTCTATAAAAAGGAAACACTCTAAAAAACATTTTATAAAGCTGTAAGGGAATCGTGACCGGCCTCATTTGTTAGTTTAGCGTTAGGTATGTAAACAGTTACCTGGTAAGTGTTAGGCTTGCTGGGTAGGTAACCGGTTAACCAGCTGGATGGCAAGAACCCAGACAGGGCAGCAGGTAACCCCAACCCCTGTGTGCACCGCATGCAGGTAGCCAGAATCCTCAGCGTTGGCCTAAGGGGGGCAGACGGGACCCTGGCCATGCCATCAGCTCCGGCCACGCCACACCCCAAACAGAGGCAGATGGAAGCCTGGCCTGACTGCTGCAGCGGCAGCTCCGGCCCTGGCCACCCCAGCCCGACACCCCAGGTGGGACCCAGGTCAGCTGGGCTGCAGTTGTGAACAGGGGGTACTCCATTTTGGCCTACTCAGGCAATGAAATTGGTCCTGTGCCTATGATAGCACAGTAAGGGTGTGTCTAGACTACAGGGTATTGTCGACTAAAGTGGACTTTTGTCGACAAAACTATACCTGTGTCTACACTGCCACTGAGTTCTGTTGACATAACATTGAGTGAACTCAGCAGTTTTGTCGATGATGGTAAACCTCATTCTACGAGGAATAACGCCTTTTGTCGATAGAGTTCTGTTGACAGAAGGTGTTGTTGAATCTACATTGTCCTTTGCGTCTACACTGTCATGTCCACAAAGTGGCTTGCTTTGTCGACAGAACTGGATATAGTCTAGATGCTCTTTGTCGACAGAAGCTTTGTCGACAGTATCTATCGACAAAACTTCTGTCGACAAAAGCCTGTAGTCTAGACGTACCCTAACTTACTCTGCGTGGCAACATCATGATAGTGAGACTAGAGGTTTTAATGACTGTTTACAAGCAGGAGGCTCTGCTGTTGGCATATTAAGGTGAATCCTGAAGCTACAACATGGGTTCCTAAAGACTCTTCTTGGATGATAATGAATCTTTACTGGGAATGAGGTTCTGATTTGTTCTTTTGATTTGGGGCACATTCTAAAATGTGGGGGGGAGCCAGGCTTTGAGTGACTATTGGGTCTCAGTTTTGGGGATCAGAGTGGTTTGTAAAATCGCTAATCGCACCCGAAAAGTGTGTCTGGGGGCCCATTTGTGAGGCAAAGAAGTATGTGCATAAGCATGGCAGTCCGTCTTCCTCCAGGCTCAAGAAGAACAAGGCATCTTCTACAAGTCCTAGCCTTGGAGAAGCAATGTGTTCCAAGACTCACAATCATGACAAATTGCCAGATCTGCTGGTTATGTCCGAGTCATGTATGCCTTCCAAGTCAGCTCCCCAAAATCCAGGAAAATATCTGTCCTGAAGCAGTTGTCCATTCTGGCTCTGGTTCTGACTGCAGATATGTGCCACTGACAACAGCGAGGTTGGAGTCAACACCTGGGCCTCATGAACTTTTTGCTTTGGGTGAAACACAGTCTCTGTGCCTTCCTATACAATCTGAACATAGAGAAGAATGTTCTCCTGCCTTGGACTTATTGCATTTGGATTGCACTTCTGCCTGCTCCTCGTACAGTTCCGATGATACCACTTTTAGAACCAGACTCCAGAATCTCATCATTGGAGGACTCAGATGGGTTGCCGGACCACCTCTGCTCTACCAGCAGTATAAGCACCCTAAAGCTCTGCCCAGTCTGTGGCAATACCCTCCCTTTTCCGCTCTTTGGGACTCTCCGTAGCATCTAACTGATCCATCCTATTGGCCACATAGAGATTCCTGGCTGCAGTATCCTTCTTTTGGAGGCTTCCTGTTCAGCAAGAGCGGAGTCACCTCTTTCCCCGCTTTAATTATCGTCAACTGAGCACTTGAGGCCAGTCTTGGAGGAACTGCTCAGTTCCTCTCCAGTGATACCACTGCAACTGGGAGGATATTTGACATCCTCTCCTGATACCACTGTATCTTTGACCATCCTCTCCTTTGGCCTTCAGATGACTTTTTGTCAATTCCAGGATCTCTTGCACAGTGTGGCTGAGGACCTCCATATACTACTGGGGGAAATACAGGGCACATTACAACAGTTTCTCGACATCCTGCACACCTCAGTAGTAACCAGGGCTGTCTGCCAATCAATTATGTCCTCCTTCAACCCATTCCAACTGTCTGGCACTCCCTAGCTACTTGCACACTCACTCCCAAGGGGACAGAGAAGAGACCATGAGATGTGAGGACATGAGAGAACAGGAACTATCTAGTTCTCTAACAATACCAGTGACAATGGACTGCACCAGGTAGATGCGCTATTCTGGCAGAAAAAGAGGGCAAATGACTGGGCCCATTGGCATGCAAGATCTTCTCAATGTCTAGTCTTCACTAGACACCTTTAGCTAAATGTGCCTTCTCAATTATGACATGTTGTTGGACTTTACAGAATACTATAGAGGACTGGAATTTCAACGCGACTCATCTTTTAAATCTGAGGCTGGCAATACTCTCCACTCACTCCATTTTCAGCATGAGTCTATCTACTAAGGGAATGTATCCTTTGAATACTCAAGGAGCTGATTGAGGAGGTATCTGAACTATTAGCTGTCATCTTGGAAAAATTATGGAAGACGGGAAAGATTCCAGAAGACAAGAGAAGGGCAAATCTAGTGCCTATCTGTAAAAAGGGGAAGAACAATCCAGGGAACTACAGCCCAGTCAGCTTAACTTCTGTGGTAGGAAAGATAATGGAGCCAAGTAAGGAGTCCATCTGCAAATATCTGGAAGATAATGCGGTAAGTAACAATCAGAATAGATTTGTGAAGAACAAGTGACGTCAAACCAATCTGATAGTTTTCCCTGATAGGATAATAAGCCTTGCATATAAGGGGGAAGCAGTACACGTGGTATACCTCGATGTCAGTAATGTGTTTGATATAGTCTCTCATGGCCTTCTTATCAATAAACCAAGGTAATATGACACAGATGGGGCTACTATAAGGTAGTTGCGAAATTAGTTGGATAACTGTTCTCAGTAGTTATCAATGATTCCCAGTCCTGCTGGAAGGGCATAATGAGCGAGGTTCCACAGGGATCAATTTTGAGACCAATTCTGTTCAATATCTTCATCAACGATTTAGATGGTGGCATAGAGAGTACGTTTATGAAGTGGATGATACCAAACTGGGAGGAGTTGCAAGAGCTTTGGAGGAGAGGGTCATCATTCAAAATGACCTGAAAAACTGGAGAAATAATCAAAGGATGAAGTTCAATAATGACAAATACAAAGTACTCTACTTAAGGAGGAAAAATCAGTTTCACACATCCAGAATAGGAAGTGACTGTTTAGGAAGGAGCCCTTCAGGAAGGGGTCCTAGTGAATCACAAGATAAATAGGAGTCAACAGTGTGACACTGAATGAAAAACAAACAAAACATGATTCTGGGATGTATTAACAGGAGTATTCCAAGCAAGACACGGGAAGTCCTCCTTCTACTCTACACTGTGCGGATTAGGCCTCAACTGGAGTATTGTGTCCAGTTTTGGGTACCATGTTTCAGGAAAGATTTGGAGAAAGTCCAGAGAAGAGTAACAAGAATGGATAAAATGTCTAAACGTGACACGAGATCCATTTAGTAGGACTTTAAAGCATGTGAAAGGAAGTTACAAGGAGAAGGGAGGAAAAATTGTTCTCCTTGACGTCTGATGATAGGACAAGTGCAGCAGGGGAGATTTAGGTTGGACATTAGGAAAAACTTCCCGACTGTCAGGGTGGTTTAGCGCTGGAATAAGTTGCCTACGGAGGTTGTGGAATCTCCATCACTGAAGGTATTTAAGAACAGATTATATTAACATTGTTCAGGGATTATCTAGATCGGGATGGACAATCATTTTCACAGACAGGCCACTTCGTGAATTTTGGTACATGGTCATGGGCCGTGGCCTTCAGACTTCAGATTTCTGAGAGAAGCCATGTGCTGTGTCTTTCAAACCGGGCAGGCTGTCCTGCTCTGTCTGCCTCCTCCCGTGTTCTACAGAGATGGGGTATAGAGGGGAAATGTGTCTGAGAGCATGAGAGGGAGAGCACTGAAATCCTAAACGGCACACTCTGCCTCTTACGACAGGCACTCCTTTGAGTCACTTACTGTCGGTGCTTCAGATGGGAGCAGCTCCATTGTGTCTCTCCCTGATCCCTGCTCTACAGAGATGGGGTAGAGTGGTAGGGGGACACCCTGACTTCAGCACTCCCCTCCTCTCTGCCCCGCTAGAAGGAGAATCCTGGGAGCAGCTCGGCTGCAGGACAGAGCAAGGTAGGGGGAGGGGCAGCTGAACACACAGCTGTAAGTATCCACGCTCTGCTAGTCAGCTGGGCAGGCCAGAGAGACCGGATCCGGCCCATAAGCCTGATTTTCTTTCTTTGCCAATCTCTTATCTAGACGTTGCTTGGTCCTGCCAAGAGGGCAGGGGCTGGACTTGGTGACCTCTCGAGGTCCCTTCCAGGTCTAGATTCATACCCTGCAGAAACTGATTTGCCAAAGTGGTCACCAGTCCTTAGTTTCAGTCAAGATTTGTCTCTCCTCCTTTGGCCCTGTACATATTTGACTACTGTTGCTGCCTTCAGCTGTGGCTCCAGAAAGTCTGTTCTCCCAGGTGACACACCATGGACCTTCTGCTGATGGCTTCCACCAATGTACTCTACTCTCCTTCCTCAAAAGGTGGACAGGCTAAGGTCAGGTCGGCACCAAGAAGCCCTTCCTTCCATCCTCCCCAGACATGATCATCATCACGGTCTCCTCACTTGACACAGGGAACTCAGACTAGTTGGGAAATCTAGAATACATATCAACATTCTGGAGCTTTGAGCGGTACAAAGGGTGTGTCGTGCATTTCTCCCATCTAGTCTCTCCATCATAGTCTTGTTATGTCAAATACTACTGCTACCATACATCAACAAACAGAGGTACGTAGTCATTGGCACCTTGCACAGATGGTTATAGGATTGGTGTTTTACCCACAAGATCTTCTTGTTGACAGCCTATCTTCCAGGACCTCAGAATGTAATTGTTGGAGCATGGCGATCTAGTTATGAACCTCATTCCTAGTCTGTCATCTCCCTGAGAATCTGCATTGATTCCCACAAAACCCACAAATTTCATAGAAGGACTCTGGACGTCTCCACAGCAAGCGCCTACCTCCCAATGGAGAGTCCACACCACAAACAATTTAATAAACAAGTGTGCATCAGATTTCAGACTCCAGGTCAGGGTCTGCCCTTCCCATTTAGACCATGTGGCTTCATGCACCCATGTACCACCATTTGCCTGGATCCTCCTACACAGTCTACAAACCTGATGTCAGTTTTTCTACTCACAGTTAATAAAGAATAACAATCTCAACCATTGTGGTGGCTTCTCTTGCCTAGTGGGCAAACTCAGGAAAAGTTTGACCCACACACCCAAGGTGAATATTGTCACAGATGCTTTCCTCTTAAGTTGGGGAACCCACATGGACAATCACATTCCACAAGGCACTTGGACCCCTGGAGAGGCCAGGATGTGTATAATCAACCTACCAGAATTAACTTAAAAAACAACAAATGGTCTGGTAGCACTTTATAGACTAACAAAACATATAAGGGTGTGTCTAGACTACAGGGTTTTGTCGACAGATACTGTCAACAAAGCTTCTGTCGACAAAGAGCGTCTAGACTACATCCAGTTCTGTCGACAAAGCAAGCCGCTTTGTCGACATAACATTGTGGATGCAAAGGACAGTGTAGATGCAATAATGCCTTCTATCGACAGAACTCTGTCGATAAAAGGCATTATTCCTCGTAGAATGAGGTTTACATACGTCGACAAAACTGCTGAGTTTTGTCGACGTTATGTCGACATAACTCAAAGGCAGTGTGGACGCAAGTATAGTTTTGTCGACAAAAGTCCACGTTTGTCGACAAAACCCTGTAGTCTAGTCACACCCTAATTGGCCTCCAGTGTGGCAGACTCTGCTACTTTGGATCATTGCTTTGGCCATTTCTGTGAGGCGTGTCCCCCAACTAGTCGTCGGGCCTCTTGGTGGGCATATGCAAGTCCATTCAGGACCTCCTGTTCAATGGCCTAGTAATGGTCTCAGAGCACGCCGACAGTAAATTATATGGCCTGAAAGATGCTAAAAGTCCAGTGTGTGCACGGTAGCGCTGTGCACCAGGGGCCTGCAAGAAAGTTGTTCAACCCATAGTAATCCCACAGGTTCAAGAGCTACAAACACTGGCAAGGCCATCAGCCGGCCCCCACAGCTCACTTGAACACTACCTTCATCTGCTCAGATGTAAGGCTTACTGCGGGGGGAGAGTCACGGAGGTAGTCCCTTTGCACCGGAGGGGGGAAAAGTTTTACTCACACTATTGTTTGATCCCAGAGGCCAAGGGCGGTCTGTTCCCCATTCTCGACCTGCAAAACCTCAGTAGGTATCTCAAGAAGTTGAAGTTCTTCATTGAGTCCCTGGCTTTCGTCATTCCTTCTCTGGATGTAGGAGACTGGTACACCTCCCTCTACTTGAAAGACCTATACTTTTTGTGTTTGTGAAGTGTTGACATGTGCAAGTTCCTGCGATTTGTGGTTGGGGCTGCACACTGTCAATTCCCAGTCTGACCTAGCAATGGCACCACCGGTGCATTTTGGTAGTGACAGCCTATCTCAGATGTTGGAGTATTCAGATTTACCCAGACCTTAATACCAAAGTCCAGGTCTAGTGCAGCAATAATTATTGAGACGTTGCAAGCCACCCGTCAAATCCTGGGCCTCTTGATAACCTGATCCGGGTCCAAAGCATAGAGTTTGAGCACTCCTCAACGGTGCCAGAAACCAGGCTCAGGCCAACGCGAGGTCTTGATTGCTAGCATCAGTGTCCACCCATTCACCACTGCCTGGATCTGCCTTGGACTATTGGAGCATGTGGCTGAATGCACGTACAATGTCTGAGACTCAGACTACGCCCTCTTGGTGGCTGGTATCCGTCTACTCCCTGGCTAGGCATCACCTGGACAAGCTCTTCTCGATCCCGCTACAGCTTCTGGCAGCTACAGAGGTGGTCTGACCTGGTGCTGGTGTTGGAAGGTGTGCTGTTTGTGAGCTCATGACCCTCGAGGTGTTTGATGTCAGGAGGGAAGCGCATCTCCGCACTCTGCAAACGAGGGGGTTATGGTTGCAAGAAGAGTTTGAGCTATGTATTGACATGAAGGAGTTCGTAGCTGTCCGTCTGGCTTGTGCAGTGTTGGTTCCACACCTGGGGTGTGCCCATACTACAGGGTTTTGTCGACAAAAGTGGACTTTTGTCAACAAAACTATACCTGCCTCTACACTGCCGCTGAGTTCTGTTGACACCACATCGACAGAACTCAGCAGTTTTGTCGACGGCTGTAAACCTCATTCTACGAGGAATAAAGCCTTTTGTCGACAGAGTTCTGTCGACAGAAGGCGTTATTGCATCTGCACTGTCCTTTGCGTCTTCACTGTCAGGTCGACAAAGCGGCTTGCTTTGTCTACAGAACTGGATGTAGTCTAGACGCTCTTTGTCGACAGAAGCTTTGTCGACACAACCCTGTCGTCTAGACGTACCCTCAGTGCTGACCGAATATAGAGGCTATGTTGTCTGTCAACAACAAGCAAGAGGGAGGTGATTCGTCAGCTCTGTGTTGAACGAATATGGAGGCCATGTTGTCTGTCGTCAACAAGCAAGAGGGAGGCTATTCATGAGCTCTGTGCCAGGAAACCCTTTTGTCTGTGGGACTTCTGCATGCCAGAACTCTGTCGACAGAACGCGTTATTCCTCATAAAATGAGGTTTACCAGCATCGACAAAACTGCTGAGTTCTGTCGACGTTATGTCGACAAAACTCAGCAGAAGTGTAGACGCAGGTTTAGTTTTGTCGACAAAACCCTGTAGTCTAGACACACCCTTAATCATCAACAACCATGGGCTCAACGCCCGTTGGTGTCCAATGACTTCTGTCGACAGAACGCGTTATTCCTCATAAAATGAGGTTTACCAGCATCGACAAAACTGCTGAGTTCTGTCGACGTTATGTCGACAAAACTCAGCAGAAGTGTAGACGCAGGTTTAGTTTTGTCGACAAAACCCTGTAGTCTAGACACACCCTTAATCATCAACAACCATGGGCTCAACGCCCGTTGGTGTCCAATGACTCCTTTATATCGGGGGAATGCTTGAGTTTTCTTGGCTGGGGAAAGTGGCGGTGGCGCTGCCGGGTGCTGCATGTATCTCCAGCTGAGTCTGAAGTGGTTTTTCTGCAGAGCTAGTTGACCCTACTTTTGGTTATAGTGGGATGGCTTTTTGGAGGCAGGGGGAACAAGCTCAGAGGCCCCCATCTGATCCTACAAAAATACGTCCTTTTCTGGATTGTCGTCTTTGTGAGGTGAATCAAATTATTTAGGGCATGAATGACTTTGGATTTTTGTTTGCAGAGCAAGAGATCTTTGTCTTGAGCATTTTGAGAGGTTTAACTACTATATTGTGTGTTGACATTTCAAAATACATCGAAAAATAGGCTGGAGGAAGGGATCTTAGTAGCTTGTAGTAGAAGACAACAGGACTTGTAGTAGGGATGTTAAATATTGGTTAATTGAATAGTCGATTAACCTCATGAATTCTTATTGGTTACTCATTCTATAGTCCCCAGGGGTGGGGCCGGCAGCCAGTGCGCTCTGGCCCCGCTCCCAAGGACCAGCTGCCTCTCGGTCTGTGTTGCTGCCTCTGATAGAGCAGTAGCAGCGTGGGGTGGTAGCCCCTGTCTGCAGAAGGGACGGAGGGGGGGGGACCAGTGTGAGCTGGAACTGAGCCAGGCTGCCTACCTACCTGGCTCTTAATACACTTTAAATGCAGAGCTGCAGCAGGGATAGGTCCCAGACCCGGTGCAAGCCGGGACCTAGCTGAGTTGCTGGCCAGCCTGCTAAAAAATTTACTAGTAGGGCAGGAATATGTGCAGTCTATAGCAGTGTTTCTCAACCAGTGGTACGAGTACCCTTAGGGGTACTCGAGAAGTCTGGGGGGTACGTTAACACAACTGAAATTTGACAAAACTGAATTTTTGTTTCAAGTTTTACAGTGTTTTATTATTTTTGTGCTTTTTACACCCAACAATTTAATCACCCGCCTGGATACGATTAAGTTGTTTAAACAAACATATTGCAATGGTAGAAAAAAAAATTGTGTCTGAAAACTGTAGGTACTGGGGGTACTTAAAAATTTTTTTTTAAGGGGTATTTTATCAAAAAAATAAAAAAGTTGAGAAACACTGGTCTATAGCATTAACCGATAAGCTTTTGCTTATCGGTTAATCAGATAATTGACTACACGATTACATCCCTAACTTATAGTAGAAAGTGTGTGTGTGTGTGTGTGGGGGGGGGAATATAAGTAACACGCCCTCTGAAATCTTCCTCCAGGGGTTCCATGCGGATTGGGAAAGATTTTATCCTGTTTACCAAGAAAGACGCCACCATGACCTGCCTCTTCCTGTCACGCACTTTCCATGAGGAAGAAGGCATTGATGAGGTTTGCCACGCCCTTTGTCACTCTAAAATATAATGTGAGGAATTTGCTAAGATGAGCTTTTTCTTGTTCTCTGTACTTGGTCGGCACTTCTAAGGAAGAGAGCCTAATCATTTCTGAGAGTAGTTGATCATTTCTCTTGTGGTTTGCATTGTACTTGGGGTAAAATATATTGGTTTGGGAAGATAAGCTGTGTTAAAAGGTAACTCTGAGAGGGTTAGAAACAAGGGTTCTTGGTGTTGGATACTGAATGAATACTTAGCTGTTACTGGTGGGGGTAAGAAGAGGTTCAAAATGCCCTAGGTAGAGGCCATCAGAAGAAACAACACAAACACGGGAGCCAAGGACGTATCTCCTATAGAGTCAGGATATACCTACACTTGCTCCCTAGTCCGAACTAGGGATGCAAATGTAGCATACCGAAGTTGCTAACGAAGCGCGGGATTTAAATATCCCGCACTTGATTAGCATATTCGCGTCCGGTCGCCATTTTAAAAATTCATTAGTCTGAATTAACTTGCTGCGTGTAGATGCCGTACTCCAAAAGAAATCCCTTCCCTCGGATTGTTACTCTTTGTGCTTCACTGGCAACTTCGGGATGCTACATTTGCATCCCTAGTTCAGACTAGGGAGCAAGTGTAGACATACCATCAGAGCTTCATCTTAATCCCCATCTTGTCCTTTCTACAGGTCATTGTCCCACTGCCCACGTGGAACACACGCACCTTGGAGCCCATGACCGACAACATGGAGAAATTTGCTATTGAGACGGAGCTTATTTACAAGTATTCCCCCTTTAAGTCGGAGCAAGAGGTGATGCAGCAATTTAAGAAAATCCCTGGGGAGAAGGGTAAGTGTAAACTGGTGCTGCACATGGGGCATTTGGAGTTGAAATAGGAATGTATCCCTCCCACACTTCTTCTGCGAGCCCACAGTCCCTCCAGCACTGCAACCCAGGCTATGTCCCAGCCTGGTGAAAGTGAGTGAAACCAGGACAGATTGAATAACAGAGGAAAGGAGGAGTAAGTGTGTGGGGGTGGGGCCCCAGGACAGATTGAATAACAAAGGGAAGGAGGAGTAAGTGTGTGGGGGTGGGGCCTCTGAGAAGGGGCGGAGCAGGATGAGGGCAGAGTAGGTGGCCTTGGAATCTCTGAAAATGGGATTCCTTGAGTTTGAGAACACTTGAAATAGGAGAAATAATTGAGGTGGCAGTAGGTGGAGCTAACTTCAAGTTTGTCACCTACTCAGGAACCCTGGTGATTATCTTTAATCTCAAACTGATGGATAATGGGGAGCCAGAGCTAGATGTGACCTCTGACCCCCGAGATATCCAGATGGCAGAAACACCGCCTGAAGGAACGTAAGTGTAAGAGACACCCCAGGTGCTGGGGCTGTTTGTATGAATGGCTTGTGATGGTTGTAGGTTGTTGTGTCCTGTTCAGGTGGCTGAGTTGCTGAGAATTCTGCATTCTGGAGTGCATCAGGTTGGGGTTTCAGAAATGCCTCGGTTCTCCTGCTCCCTGATGTTGATGCTCTTAACGGCTCATGGACGTTATTCTTGTGTTCTAGATAGGGGGCAGGAGAGTAGCGTGCTATAGCTATCCTGCTACTGGGTTACCCCAGAGAGGGCAATAGCACGTGGCCAAATGTGACACTTGGTTAATTCAGCTGGAGGAGGCAAGACTTGGGGTACCGAGTGATTTTTATAACCGATTGAAAGAATTACTGGGATGGAGGGCAGTAAGCGTCTCCCTTGAACTTCGCTTGAGTTGGGCGGCTAAATCCGCATTGTGGCCAGAGATGGAGCTCTGGTGAGGCTGGCTGCCTAACCAGGGTGAAAAGTCTGAGGGATAGCCGTGTTAGTCTGATGGGTGTGTCTACATTGCACGCTTATTTTGAAATAAACTATTCTGGAATAGTTATTCTGAAATAGCTTATTTCGGAGTAGCACATCTATGCTGCAGGGAAGACTCAAAATTAGTCCGAGGCAGGCTTTGCTAATGTAGACGTGCTATCTCAATTTAGAGCCCCAGGAGCCACTGGGGAGGAATAACTTAGAATGTCCCTGGAGAGGGGCTGTTTCAAAATAGCAGCAGTGGAGCATCTACACACACCTTATTTCAGAATAGCTATTTCAGAATAGGCGTTATTCCTTGTAGAATGATGTTTACAGATTTTGGAATAAGCCGACCGTTATTTCGAAATTATTTTGAAATAAAAGAATGGTTGTGTAGACACTTGCATTGTTTCGAAATAACGCTAGTTATGTCGAAATAATGGTGCAGTGTAGACGCATCCTGAGAGACTAACATATATAGTCATGAGCTTTCGTGGGGAAAAACCCACTTCATCAGATGAGTTAGAGGAGAAATAACAGAATCCAAGGTATACGTAACGGCAAAAGCAGTTACCTGTAAATTATAGGACTGGTGTTAATGAAGCTAATGCTGCCGACTTCTGGGTAATGATTACTCCGTTACATGTTAACGTGCCTGTTCCTGACTCATCCTGACCTCACCCGGTTTCCATATGCATAAAAATTCGGTCTCTGGGGAAAGCTTTGGTGGAGCGTCAGAACTTCAGTAGCCACGGGGAATCCAGTGCTCAGTGGAAGGCATTCTGGGAGATGCTTGGGCATAGAGATGTGGGATCTTCAGTTTGGGTTGGCAGAGTAGAGGCCAGTGCATGTGAAAAGATGGAGTGTCTCGTAATGGGAATCTGGAAGTGCTGGAGCAGATAGGCAAGAATGGCACTGAAGGAGCTCAAGGTGAAGAAAAAATGAAGAGAATTATTGCTTAATTAAGGAGGTGTGGGACATCGCTTGGCGGATGAATTGGCAGTGCTTCCTGGATCATGGATATTGTTTAAGGATGGCTTGGGAGCGGGAGGGACTTACTGTATGGGGAGAGTGTTGGGGTGCTGCTCAGGGTTGGATATGAGCTGTCTCTTTGGATAAGAGATGTAGGGGCACTGCTTGAATAGACTCTCTGGATTCCGTAAGTTTTCTCCTTTTGCAGAAAGCCAGAACGTCGCTCCTTCCGCGCCTATGCTGCTGTCCTTTACATTGATCCTAGAATGAGGATCTTCATCCATGGACACAAAGTGCAAACAAAGCGACTTTCCTGCTGCCTCTACAAGCCGAGGTAGGAGCCCTGACCTAGGGGACCACATTCAGCCGCAAGGGTCCCATGAAGTCCCTGGTAGCTTGCTGGGTGTGTTTGCCCTGTGTGAGATCACGTAGAAGCGTAGAAATCAAAGACTCTGGCTAATCTGAAGTCATAAGGCAAGATTTTCAATGCTTTTGGGTCAGGGGAAATGGCCGAGTCTTCTAAAAATTCTACCTGGAACTGTCTCTAAGGGATACAGAGGAGTAAAGGCCTTTTAGCTGCTTTTGTGGCAATGTTACAGCTCTCGTTTCAGACCCCAATACCTAGTTGGGTATGTCTGGGAAATCCCCCTTTGGAATAGTATGAAAATTATATCCCAAGGAAATGAAACTAGGCTGAGTATCTAGAACCACTAAGTGTGTGGTGGTCTTTTTATACTCAGCCTAGTTTCTAGAACCACTAAGTGTGTGGTGGTCTTTTTAGATACAGGGTGTCCCCACCATACATCCAAGATACGTTCCAAAAAACATGGGTGTATAGCGAAATGACGTAAAGCGGGGAATTGTTTTCCTGCGGCTGACTTCCATTTACACAAATTGGTCTTTTTTGCACCACGTAAGACCAGGGAATGGGAGGAGTTATAAAATGACAGTTCCTACGAGCGTCAGTGATGTTAGTGTGGAAGCAAAGTATACCGGCGCAACGTATAGCGGGGATGCCCTGTACAGTAGTTTTAACTTTCTATGATGTGTTAAAGGGTAACAAGAAAACATTCTACAAATACATTAAAAGCTAGAGGAAGACCAAGGACCAGGTGGGACCATTACTCAATCGAGAGGGGGAAAAATAACAAAAAATGTGGAAATTATTTTTTTTGTTTCAGCTTTCACCAAAAAGATTAGTAATAATTAGACGTGTATTAGTGAATGCCAGTGAAAATTAGGTGGGATCGGAGGGTAAAATAGGGAAAAGAGCAAGTTAAAAGGTACTTAGACAAGTTAGATGTATTCAGGTTGGCTGGGACTGCTGAAATGTATCCTAGAATACTCAGGAAACTGGGGAGATATCTGAGCCATTTGCGATTGTCTTTGAAAAGTCATGGAAGACAGCAGAGATTTCAAAGGACTGGAAAAAGGTGCAAATACAATGCCCATCTATAAAATAAGGACCACCCTCGGGAATTATGGACCATTCAGCTTAATTTAAGTATTTGAAAAGATAGTTGAGTGAATAATTAAGCAATCAGTTCACCCATATCTAGAAGATCATGTCTAAGTAACCGCATGGATTTGTTGAGAACAAATTGTCAAACCAATCTAATAGCTTGCTTTCACAGGGTTACGAGCTTTGTGAATATAGGAGAAGCAGCAGATGTGATATGACTTGACTTTACTAAAGGTTTTGATACTTGCATGACCTTTTCATAAATCAGCTAAGGAAATAAACCTAGATGGACTTTTGTGTAGGACATTCAGACAAGCTGCAAGCATCTTATGTTTCCGGGGCCCAGAACAAGCTGGCAGTCCACCTCAGCAGGTCTTTCCATGGACATAAGTCGTCTCTTCCCCCAGACGTTGCCATCTTACTCTTCCAAAGGTGGGGCACTTCCCAAGTGGACTTGTTGACTACACACCACAATAGGAAGTGTCATCTGTTTTGCTCATTCCAGAGCCGCGGTCCAGGATCGTGCGACAATGCATTCCTTCTCCCATGAAGAATTTCTCCTCTACGCCTTCCTGCCAATTCAGTTGGTACACAGAGTACTCCTCAAAATCAAGGGGGAGCGAGCACAGGTCATCTTAATAGTGCCGGCCTGGCTCGTCAGCAATGGTACACACCCCTCTGGGACATTTCAGTGAAAGTGCCAGTCACGCTTCCTCCTCGTGCAGATCTTCTGACACAAGACCAATGTCCTCTCACATCTGAACCTCATGTCCTACATCTCACAGCCTGGAAGCTCTGTGGCTGAATTCCAGGGAGCTTTTCTGGTCAAACCAGGTTCATCAAGTTTTCATGGGTAGTAGGAAACCCTCCATGAGAGCAACTTACCTGGACAAGTGGAAATGGTTCTCCATCTAGGCATCGCAGCTCTGTTCATCTTCTACATGGGCTCTTATCGTAGACTACCTTCTTCAGCTGAGGCAGCAAGGTGTTTTGGTTTTACCTACAAGGTTCTACTTGGCCACCATATCAGCATTCTACCCCAGGATACAAGGCTGCATGGTATTCTCTGACTCTATGGTCAACCAGTTCTTAAAAAGTTCTAGGCAGGCTATACCCATACATAAGCCAATCTGTCCATCCATGGGACCTAGTCCTAGTCCTATATAGGCTCATAGGTCTACTAGTTGAACTGCTAGTCACATGTTCTCTACTTCACCTTTCTTAGATGGTGGCTTTTCGGGTGGCCATAATCTTGGCCAGGAAAGTGCCAGAACTCAAGGCTCTAACCTCAGAGCCCCCAAACACTGTGTTCATTACGGACGAGGTGCAGTTAAGACCACACCCTTCATTCCTCCCTAAGGTGGTTTCTCAGGTCCACATCAATCAGGAGATATTTTTTCCAGTGTTTTATCCAAACCCACATTCTGGGAGTTGGGAACAAGAGACTCCACACTCTGGACATATGCAAGGCATTGGCCTTTTCCATTGAGAGAATTAAGCCATTTAGAAAATCAGCCCCGTTATTTGTAGCGATTGACAGATAGCATGAAAGACCAGCCTGTATCATTGCAGCAAATCTCCTACTGGGGTAGTCTCCTGATTCACGAATTCAGTGCTAGTGTTTGGGGCCTAGGCACAGCAATCATGACACATTCTACCAGGACGCAGGCCTCATCCACGGTATTTCTTGCTCACGTTCCAACGACGGAGATATAGGGCAGCGACATAGTTGTCTGTCCACATGTGCACAGCACATTATGCAATCGCCCAGCAGGCCAGACACAACGGCAGCCTTTGGGAGGGTAGTGATCCAATCGTCTTGTGGCTCTGACCCCACCTCCTAAGGGTTCGGCGTGAGAGTCACCTGGTTGGAATGCACATGCCAGATGCGCTGAAGAATCATATGTTCCTTCATGCTTTGACCACTATTCCAGAAGACATGCGTCCATGCTGATGACTGATCAATAACAGTCCAGAGCAGCATGCACCCAAAACTTGTTCATTTCACCATGTGAGTCAGATGCTGATTTTTCTTTTGTGGTAGTTCGGCTTCTGTAGTTTTCACATTGAAGTGTTGCTCATAAGACTTCTGAAAGCATGCTCCATGCCTCGGCCCTCTGTTTTTGTAAGGCACTTCAGGTTCTTAAGTCTTCGGTTGAGTGCCGTAGCTATCGTTAGAAATCTGATATTGGAACCTCCTTTGTGTTCTTGTCACATCTGCAGTGAAAATGTTCTTAAATCAAATGTATTCTGGGTTGGCATCTGAGACTACAATAACTCGTTATATATGGCAGAACTTGGGTAAAACCATGGAGCAGAAGACCTACAATTCTCTTCCAAGGAGTTCAGTCACAAATTTAACACTTTTTTTTTAATAAGCATAATCCACATGAAAGCATGTCCTCTGAGATGGTACTCGAAGCATGAAGAGACATATGAAAGTTTAGCATATCTGGCATGTAAACACCTTGCAATGTCTGCCACAAAAGTGCCATGCGAACTCCTGTTCTTGTTTTCAGGTGACATTATAAATAAGCGGGCAGCATTGTCTACTGCAAATGTAAATAAACTTGTTAGTCTTATTAATTGACTGGACAAAAAGTAGAATGGAGTGGACTTGCAGCCTCTAAAGTTTTATAGCGTTTTGGTTTTGAGTGCAGTTACGTAAAAAATTTCTGCATTGGTAAGTCGCACTATCCCCGTGAGGGCAGGGGACGGGACTCGATGGCCTTTCAAGGTCCCTTCCAGTTCTAGTGCTCTATGATTCTAAAAGGTTACACTACAGTACTTAAGAGGCAAACTGAAAAACCAGTGTCTGTCTCAAACAAAAGACAAGACTATGCAGCACTTCAAAGACTAACAAGATGGTTTATTAGGTGATGAGCTTTCGTGGGCCAGACCCACTTCCTCGGATCAGTTTGTGGAAGAAAATTGACACGACCATATATACCAAAGGGATACAATCAAAAAAAAAAGTGAACGCATATAAAATTGACAAATCAGATTTTAGAACAGGGGAGGTGAGGGGGCGAAGGTTAATGTCTGTGAGGTAATGATATTAGGGGTGATAATTTTGTAATCAAAAGTAATATCAAGTGAGCCATGTACGTCTAGTATTTTGTGTTGTAATTGAAATCAATATATTTGAAAATGTAGAAAAACATCCAAAATATTTAATAAACAATGCCAGTTGAAATGTTATGCAATTAAAACTGCAGTTAACAAGGATTTATTTTTTTGAGTTAATTTCATGAGTTAATTGCGACTAATTGACAGCCAGTGAAATACATAGGTCTGTTTTAGCGTGTTGGATGAAAAGAGCTATCAGGGGA